TTCCCTTAACCACGCCTGAGGGCCACCCAGACTGGGTTTCCATCTCAGGGTTTATCATGTTCATAACCAACAATTTTCTCCTTTGGGGAGTGCTGAAGTGGTGAGTAATCCTTCCGTCTGTTTTATTTTATTTTATTTTAAACACATAAATCACATAAAACAATTCAAAGTGTTTTCATTTTATAAAAAGTAGAATTACAAGGAGCAAGTATATGCCAGCTCTTAGATCTTGCTTCTGCTTATTCTGTTCCCACTAGATTACCATAGCCAGGGTTGGTCTAAGCTGAAACTAGAAACACAGAACTCTGTCCAGGCTATCAGATAGGTGATAGAGGTTCAAGCACTGGGACCATTTTCTGCAAACATCCCAGGGGCATGAATGAAGAGCTATGTTGAAATAGCAATCACCAGGACTGAAACTTACACTTGTATGAACTGCTCGTGTCACAAATTGTGGTTTTATGTTCTGTGCCACAGTGTTAGCTCCAGAAAACTTGAAAACTTTGTGCAATAAATGACTGAGTCCTGGACCCCCTTTTCTTAAAAAAATTTTTTTAACTAGGTCTTTTCATTTTTAGTCTATTGAGAGATCTATGGATCCAGATTCAAGTGCATATTCGGACTCATTCTTTGCAATGAAATTCATTCTTCCTGTTGGGCACTTGTGATTTGAATTTATTTTTTTCATTTGGCATAAGTTTATCCCAATTTTTTATTTCTGCTTTAAAGTTCTAGCAATTCATGAAGTTCTAGGCATTATTAAGACCATGAAGGCTTATTGGTTTCCTAAATCACATTTCATTCAAAGTAATTCCTTAGTCCTGACTTCAGCCATCAGTGTGTTTTTGTATTTAATTCCAGTGGTTTGCTTTGGTGGATCTTCTGATTTCAATAATTGTCTTCATTACTATTTTTTACAATTGTTTCCCTTCCTTGTTATCTTTGTTCCTTCTTTATAGTTACTTTTTGCAGTTGTAATGTTAAGGTTATTGATCTTTTTTAGATAAAAATGAGCGAGTATTGATTTATTTGTTGCTCATCTAACCCAGCAGTGTTAGAACATGTGAGTTTTTAGCAGAAGGATGTTGAACAGGTCCGCTGTATCTGCAGTTTCATTTTGTCCAGGCTCAATCAAGTGTGGATCCAAATTATTTGAAACCATTTAATCTGTCTGAGTATGTCTCCACTTTTTCCTTGTTTTATTTCTTCCACATGTGGGGACGGGTTGGCCCTATAAGTTGTACCACTCCTGGGAAACCATTTCATCTTATTCTGTCAAAACAACCAGGGAAGAAAGGACTTAAAATGCAGTAAATCTTTTACAGGCTAATTTAAAATATATATATGTATTTTATTTTACTTGAAAGTCAGAGTTACAGAGGGACAGACAGTGAAATCTTCCATCTGCTGGTTCACTTCCCAAATGTTTGCAACAGCTGGAACCGAGCTGATGTGAAACCAGGAGCCGGGAGCTTCTTCTGGATTTCCCACTGGGTGCAGGGGCCCAATGAGTTGGGTCATCCTCTTCTGCCTCCCTAGGCCATGATCAAGGAGCTTGATTGAAGCTGGAATAGCCAGGGCTTCAACTTGTACCCTTGTGGAATGCCGGTACCACAGGTGGATGAGCCTGCTATGCCAGCACACTGGCCCTAATTTTTAATTTAATTGCCTTCAATATTCCTTGACAGTAAAAAAAAGCTCCTCCGTGTACACCTTTAACAATGTATTGTCAAATAATTTTTTAAAGTCCTGGAAAATAGGATTAAAAATTTGGCTGAAAAGTTCTTGAAATGCTTGGGAGGGTTTTCATCATACATATTTCTGTAAGTAATCTAGAGATGATTCACAAAGTACGTGGGAGGTTATGTGGAACTGAAACTCAGTCCTTTATCATTTTAGGTAAAAGATTTTGGCATTCATGGGGAGGGCTGTCCTAGAATCATTCTTTTACGAATATTAAGAGTTTTTCTACACTTTTTTTTTTAAGTAAATTTGGTTTTGTGCTAATATAAGATTTTCCACCTCCACCCTTTCTAAACATCAGTGGCATTAACCAGTCTGACCTTGTTGTGCAACCACCAATGCCCATCCATAAAGTTTTTCATCATCCCAAATCAAACTCTTTACCCACTGGAAAAATACAACCAAAACCTTGCTCTGCTCTCTTCTTGGTCCCTGATAGCAACTCTTCAGTCTACAGATATGATCCTTCTAGGTGATTCATACAAAAATATTTCTTTTCTGTGTATTTCACTTATCATGTTTTAAAGGTTCACCTACATTGCAGCTTGCTCTAATATTTCATTTCTTCTTAAGGCTGAATGATTTGCCTTTGCATGGATATGTATTATTTTTTTATCCATTTGTCCATCCACAGTCACTTGGAGTATTCCCACCTTTTGATCATTATGAGTAAAGTTGCTAAGAACACAGGTGCAGAAATACATAATCATTTCTGCTTCTAATTTCTTTTGAATACTTGCATATAAGCGGAATTGCCATACTGCATAATAGTATGCTTGGGTTATTAAAGAAACTGTCATGTTGTCTTTAAGATTTGCTGCATCATCTTAAATAACACTCAAGTAATGTACAGGATTCTAATTTCTCCATATCCTTGCCTGGTTTGTGCTCTTTCTTTTTAGTAGCTGGATACCAAGTATTATTGAGTAGCATTTACCTAATAATTAATAATACTGGAAGTCTTCTGAAATGTTTGGTAGCCTTCTGTATATTTTTTTAGTCACCATCTTTTCAAGTCTTGCCCACTGTTTTATTTGCTTCTTTGGTTGCTGAGCTGTAAGAATTCTTTGTATGTTCTAGACACTAGATTGATGAGCTGTGTTTTATCTCATTCTGATATCTTTCCACTAGGACTTATTGCAGAAGAGTTTTAAAGGTGTTTAAAATTTCAATGTACTTGCTTCTGGTGTCAAAATCAATCACTGTGAAATTCAGTGTAGCAACTTCCCTCTTGAAAAAGAATTAGTTGCCAACAGTCTAAGCAGGATGAAGACTGGAATTAAAAGATACCCTTCCTGGGGGAGGAAAAGGGATATTCATTGGTGGTGAGCAATGTGATGTGGTGGGTTAAGCTTTCTGCCCTGTGTGATGCTGGCATCCTGTAATACAGTATTGGCTCAAGTTACAGCTACTCCACTTGCAATTTAGTTTCCTGCTGATGTACCTGAGAGACTGCAGACAATGGCCCTAGTGGTTGGTATTCTTGGTTCTGGGTTCTTGGTTTTGGAATGGCCTAGAGAGTGGCTGTAAATCAATCAGCAAACAGCAGATACGTTTCTTTCCCTGTATCTGTCACTTTGATTTTCTAAATAAATCAATGCATCTTTTTCACAATATTCACAATATAGAAGGTAGAGAAATTTATTGATACTTGAAACTATAAGTAACTTAGATGGGTAATATAAAAAATAAATTGACATATTTAAAATATATTATTGGACCAGATATCTTTGCTGATAGGCACTCTGTCAGCAATGTCTTAGACTTGGTTTAAATATACTTTTAAAATACTTTAAAAGCCAATATAAAAATGCATTCAAAGAGGTTTCATCATAAACATACAATAGTATATATTTGGTAAGTTGCATTGCTTTGTAGATGATCATCTATAAAGATTCTACCTTCACTATGCTTTATAAATACTACGCTGGATAGTCCTTTGCACTGTATTTGTGAAAATGAGCCAAAGTTAACAATATATTTATTTCGTAGATGTCAGATTGTACGCATTCATAATATAGAATTTCCCATATTAGACCAAAATGAGAAAATGGTTTGTTGAAGTACTTGCTAATTTGGCTCAAAAATATAGTTTTTCCTAATGTACACCACTTATTTATAAAAGATAATGTCCTTCACCTATAGTACTTCCTCAAAACTGAAAAGAAATTGCCCATGCCCCTAACCCTGTTATTACTATATAGTGGGAGCCAGAAAATGTTTTAGATTAAGGACCGATAGTAAATATTTCAGTCCTTGCAGGTCATGCAAGCACTGTCGCATCTACTCAACTCCGGAAATGTACTGCTAAAGTGCAAAGACAACAGTAAATGAGTGGGTATGGCTGCCTGCGATCCATGCCTGCAATTTGGCTATCTTTATTTTAACACACCATTAAACATTCTCATATAAGATGTTCAAAAGATGAATATTAACTTAGGGCCCTTGAGAGGCCATGTGACATAGTAGGGAAGACACTTACATTCTAAATCAGGGTACTTGGGCTTGGGGCTCAGCTCCAACTCCTAATTGCAGCTTTCTGCTAATACAAACCACAGGAGACAGTGGTAACTGCTCAACAGGTTAGGCTGCTGACGCCTATGTGGGAGACCTGGATGGGAATGCCAGCTCTCAGTTTCAGCCCTGCCTCAGTGCCAGCCACTGTTGGATTCTGGGGAGGGAATCACTGGGTGGAAGGTGTCTCTCTCTCTCTCTCTCTCTGCCTTTCAAATAAATTAGTTAAATTAAAAAAATAATTTACGGCCTAAAACAAATTTACAAATATTTTTCTTTTATAGTCCTTTATGAAAAGCATTGCTGTTTCCTAGAAAGTATTTTCTGTTTTCACACTTTCATTCTTTTCTTGCCCTGAGATATTTATTAAGAAAGGGTAATCTGGAATCCAGTACATGGAGTATCTTTGGGAATAATGCAATTAGGGAATGATACTACTTTTAGCATTATAAGAACCCCAGGCCCCAGATGATAACTGTTGGGTAATATACAAGTGCTTGCACCATGCCTTCAACATACAGAATGTTAAAGGGCAATAAGCTCTCCCTGGCAGTGATTGCAGCAATTGAAAGTTATATTTTCATATCTGGTATAGGGATGATATCTTCCAATATTTTTCTTTGTAGCAAGCAAGGTGGTTGGGGAAGGCTCAGCAAATGGATTATCAGGGGTGCTTTCTGTACAGGTAACTGGATCCAAAATGTGTAGAATCTAAAACAAAATAAAAGATAACGTTAGATGAATACAATATCACCTACACAAGCCCTTAGTTTAATTGATGAGTAATTATTGTAGAGTCGCATCTCATTAATAAGTAATCCCAGGAAAATAATATCTATTTTCTCTAGAAGCTCTGAATTTAATAATGATATACGGCTGTTATATGGCCTACGTAAAGTATTTTTTTAAAAAATCATGACAATTTCTCTTATGGATAATGATGAGACAGAATGAAAAACAGAAGAAAAAAGAGATAAAACAATTATACTGTGAGTTGATGCTGTGGCACACTGGTTAAAGTACTGCCTGTAATACCAGCATCCTATATGGGTACCAGTTCAAGTCCTGGCTGCCCAATTCCTGATGTAGCTCCATTCTAATATATCTGGGATAACAGTGGAAGGTGGCCCAACAACATGGATCCCTGCACCCATCTGAAAGACATGGACAATACCCTTGCCTAGGGATTTCAGCCTGGCCCAGCCCTTGGCCAGTGTGGCCATCTGGGGATGAAACAGTGGAGAAAAACTCTAACTATCCCTTCCCCTTTCTCTGGAACTCTTAAACAAATAGGTAAATCCTAAGAAAAATCGCACAACTGCACTTAACATAAATTTTTACTCTTCAACCCAAGCAGTACCTCTTTGCCTCCCCCGTCCCCGCAAATTTTAAGAGATTTACTGATTTTTTTTTTTTTAAATTGGAAGGGCAGATCAGTTTTATGGAGAGGGAGAGACAGCGCGAAAGATCTTCTATCTGCTGGTTGACTTCCCAGATGGCCTCAAGGGCCAGAGCTGAGCTGATCTGAAGCCAGGAGAAAGGCACTTCCAGGCCTCCCTTGGGTGTAGAGTTATAAGGACTTGGGTCATTCTTCACTCCTTTCCCAGACTATAGAGCTGGAAGGGAAGAGAGCAACCAGGACACGAACCAGAACCTGTATGGAATCCCAGCCCTTGCTAGGTGAGGATTTTGTCATTGAGCCACTGCACCAGGCCTTGTCTACCTTTTGAAATCTTTCATTTAACTGATTCTTTCACAGAAAATGCTAGTTCAGCCTCTGTTTTTTTTTTTTTTTTTTTTTTTTTGGTAAAAATCATTGGCTTTCTGTTTTTCTAATTTATGCAAAACATAGTAGTCAATGCTTCGCAATGTGAAGTACAAGGAGCAAGGATATTTGAGAAATAAGCTTGAGAATGGAGTTGGAACAAATGGGGAAAAAACCTACTCAATATGAACAATATGGATTCATTAATGAGGGAAACTGGGGCCTTTCTGAAGGTTACACTGTATTTCTGAATTCTGACAGTAGGGGAGTAGATGTTCCAAAGTCAGGTAAGAAACAAGACAGGGTGTGCTTGGCAATATAACCTACTGGCTAAAGTCCTTGCCTTACATGCACCAGGATCCCCTATGGGCACAAGTTCATGTCTCGGCTGCTCCACTTTCCACCCAGCTCCCTGCTTGTGGCCTGGGAAAGCAGTCACGGAAGGCTCCAAGCCTTGGGACCCTGCAGACATGTGGCGACCTGCAAGAAGCTCCTGGCTTGTGGCTTCAGCTAAGCTCAGGTCCAGTCTTTGTGGCCTCTTGGGGAGTGAACCATTAAGCAAATGGAGGACATTTTTCCTTCTCTTTGTAAATCTGCCTTTCCAAGAAAGAGAAATCTTAACAAGAACAACAACAAAAAAATACAAAAACAAGATAGGGCTATTAGTAATGGGACTGTAGCAATAGTCTAGGCCAGGTGTTTAAGTTTGGGGGAAGGGCTAAATTAAGGATCTAGTAAGATTTATAAAATCAGTCAGATCAGGGGGATAAAGAAAACAAAAATCAAGGCTACTATCTATTGAGAAATTACCGTAAAATGGAAATAACTACAGCACTAAATGCTTTACGGAATCCTGGAAACATATTTATGAAACTAAAACTTATATACTGATATTATATGAAAAATAACCAAGGACTCAGTAGCTAAATTTAGGACCTCTTCCAAAATAATTACAAATTCCTCCCATTAAGGACAGAGCAGCAAATTTAGAGAAGAATACAGCTTGGGCATGTAAGGAAACAGTTCCTTCTAGATTACAATCTCATCAATGCAACAATCATGTGTGGCTCGCATTTCTTAACTCCGAAGGCCAAATGCTTCATATTACAGCATGTCACCTCTCACCTTTGAGGAAGGGACCAGTCTGAGTTCCATAGATCAGGAAGGAGAAGATATTTTACCTTTTCGGCCATTTTCTCAGCTGGTGTGCTGCAAAACTCAACAGAGGACAGAATCTTCTTTTGACTGCTCATGCCAACATTTCCCAGTAGATGAGTGTTTACTGCCTTTGCCAGACTGTGATTTGTCAGTGCTAGTTCTGTTGTGTTGTAGAGCTGTGCACCAGGGGAGTAGGTTTGTTCTTTTCCCCACTGTAATGAGATAATGAGTTCCTCCAATAACCTGCAGAGAACACACACGAATCCTCAACATTAATAACACGGCAAAATGTAAAAATCAATCATCATAAGTAAATGGGAAATATTTCGACATCAAATCTTTTCCCCATCTTTCTCAGAGTTCAATGAATAAGAAATTCTTGTTAAATAAATTATATGACTTAAGCACCTCTCAATCTCCTACTCAACAGATAGCATTATTATGTTTTTATATCTAACACAGGAAACGCTGATTTGATCTGTGCCATCTATGAGATATTCATATGCCTACTTTAGTCCACATTAAATGATTTTGAATGCTGAAACAGCCTACAATTCCTGGGATTAATAACACTTGGTCATGAGCTACTCAAATTATTTGAAGGATTTTTGCATTTGTGTTCATTAGAGGTATTGGTTTGTAGTTCTCCTTTACAATGTTTCTGGTTTCAGCATTCAAGATAATGTCAGGCTGCTAACATAACTGGGATATTTTTCTCAATTTTCTAGAATTTGTGTAAATTTTGTTTCATTTCTTATTCAGCTGTTTATTAGTACACTCCAGTGAATCCAATGAGACTGGGCCTAGGATTTCAGAAACTGGAAAGTTTAGTACTACAAATTGAATTGCTTTAATATACCAGGGTTGTTCAGGTTATCTCTTTGTGAGCAACTTTGGAAGTCTTTCATCTAAACTACTGTCGTGTGCATAGCAACTGTCTGTGGTATACAGCGCATCCCATTACTGACCACTGAATGCATATCTCCCAACTCTGATTACACTGATCAGAGGATGCTCCTCCTCTCAAAGACCTTAAATTTGCTTTCAACTTTTTCCTCCCTATTTATCGCTTGCTCTCTTCTTCTTACTTTGTGTTTAATGTTTGTATGTGTATGGTATAAATAGGAGGTTTAAATTATTGATGAAATACTTTTTCTACAACAAGCACTTTGGCTATGAATTTCCCTCTTACTACTATGCTAGTTGCCTCTTACCAAGTTTTGACATTCTGATATATCTTATTTTACCTGACTCTGACACTATTTGTATTATTTTATTTCTATGAAAGCACAAAAAGTTTGTATAGGAGACTATACATTTTGATAACTCTGAACTATACTGACAACAACAAGTTCTAGCACAGTTGCAAACCTTCAAAAAGATTTTCCATAGGCAAGACAAGCTTTTATTGTAAACTCTTAAAACTATTGTAACTAAAATTGTTTTAGATCTAGAGCTTATTTCTATTAGAAATGTAAATAATTCTTTTCTCAACTCAAAAAATTGAGAAGTACATACATTGGGAGGAAAAAAACTGTCACAGTAACAAAACTTGTAGGAGAGTTCAGAAGAAACAAACACTATACTTGTGGGTGGCGGCCATTTCTTGCCGGAACTGCTCCCGTTCGCTTAGGAGATCTTGAATGGCACTTTGTGCCTCGCGATTCTGACGCTGTAAAACTGCTCTGGAACTGGTTAACTCATCCGCCATCACCCTGGAAAAGATTCAATTTTACACAGAAATTCTTACAATTACACAATGTAAAGAAGTCAACATATTACTTTGTGACAATCATTTTCAAAATGTTGACAAAGATGACTGAACTAGTCAAATTACTTCTCAGTTTAAAAATGCATGCAAAAAAATGTTTCAAAATGTGGGCTTGGCGCAGTAGCCTAGTAGCTAAAGTCCTCTCTTTGCAAACCATGGGATTTCATATGGGTGCCAGCTTGTGTCCTAGTGGCCCTGCCTCCCATCCCGCTCCCTGCTTGTGGGCTGGGAAAGCAGGTGAGGACGGCCCAAAGCCTTGGGCTCTGCACCTGCGTGGGAGACCAGGAAAGAAGTTCCTGGCTCGTGGCTTCAGATTGGCCTGGGGAATGAAACAGTAGACAGAAGATCTTCCTTTATGTTTCTCTCTCTATATCTGACTTTGCAATAAAAAGAAATAAATCTTTTAAAAATATATTTTAAAATGTTTATGAACTTAGGTCTCATTAAAGTAACAAATGCAATTAAAAATAAGAAAAAGCATTATGTAAGTTTAAAAAAAATCATGTATTTTCACTTCAAAGGCAGATTCACAGAGAGAATGAGATGCAGAGGGAAGCATCTTCCATGCTGGTATGCTCTCCAACTGGCTGCATCACTGTGGCTATGTGGTGCCAAAACCAGGAGCCAGCAGTCTCCTCTGGGTATACCATGCTGGTATAGGGTCCCAAGGACTTAGGCCATCCTCTGATACCTTCCCAGGCCATAAACAGGGAGCTGTATTGGTGACACTTGAAGGTGGACGATTAGCCTGTTGACGCATAGTGCTGGTTCCTGACGTTTCTATATAACAATTTTAGTAACCACCTCAAATTTGCAAATAGAGGAAGTTTTGAAAAAAATTAAGAAATGCTTTCATATACACAAACAAAAAAAAATCAGTTATTTTCTTACAAATTATCTATTTACATTGGTAAAACATGAATACAGAAAGATTCCCACTAAAGGAAAAGCTGTCTTTCTTCCAGCTTTAGCATGCTTACATGATATATGTAAGTAATTAAGTATTACATTGTTCCAGAAAAAAAATTTATGTATCTTTCTACAGGAAATGATTGCACAGTGAGTTAATCAACCACATCGTGGCTGCTCCACTTTCGATCCAGCTCCCTATTCATGTGCCTGGGCAAACAGCGGAAGTTACTCATAGTACTTCTAACCCATGACTCACATGGCGGGCCTGGAAGAAGCACCTGGCTCCTGGCTTTATCCACTGCAGACACCTGAGGAGGGACCAGCAAGCACAGTGTCTCTTTCTGTTTCCTCACGTATTTCTGTAACTCTGCCTTTCAGACGAATAAACTTTTTTTTTTTTTAAAGGAAATGTCCAACCCAAATTTTTCTACACTTTGCTTTATGCACTTTATCTTAGACTTCTCGTATATCTGTGCATACGGAACTACATCAGTGTCATTTCACAAAAAACTTCACGTTTTCTAGTGATCAGATACTTTACATTTTATTTAACTAGGCCTCTACTGATGGCACTGCAAAAACACTTTAAAAGATATCAATTGCTGAGTATCTTAAAATTAAACTTTCATAAAGATTTATTTTGAAAATGTTAAAAAAAAAATCAACAAATTATTCAGTTGAAAGAGAGAGCAAGGGAAAGGGAAAGAGATTTTTCATCTGCTGGTTCCCTCCAAAATGGCCACAACAGCTGGGGCTAGGCCATGCAGCCGTCAGGCTGGGCCGAGGCTGAAGCCAGGAGTCAGGAGCTTCTTGTCGGTGTTCCACGTTGGTGGTGAAGGCCCCAGGATTGGGCTATCCTTGGCTGCTTTCCTGGAAAACAAGCAGGGAGCTGGATCCAAAGTGGAGCAGGTGGGACTCAAACCAGCAATCAAATGGGAAGGCAGTACTGAACATGGTGGCTTAGTGCATTAGGCCACAATGCTCACCCTAATACAGTTTAAGGAAATGACTCCTTCAGTAGAAAGTATTATAGATACTAAAACATGAAGAAAGCTTTTCCTGAAGATTTTATTCTTTACAATCAGTGGTTCTTAATGTACAGTATGGAAACCTTCGGTGATTTGCGTGAAATCTCAAGGTGATTCAACGTCACATAAGCAATTGATAAACAAAGTCATGCAATATATTTTGCTAAACACCAGAAATATTGATGGGTAATACCCAGAGCTGGTATTTCAGTAATTCAAAGTCAACGTTGGGGTGGGCAAGAGCGTCGTAAATTGACAAAAGAGTCTAAAGTGCTAGCAGAGTTTTGTGCCACCAGTTGGCCCAGATGTCTGGACTGGGACCTGGTCTGTTTACCTGTGTGGAAAAGCAGCCTCATTTGCTATACCATAAAAATGTTACAGTTTTGGTAAGTGTATAAAGAGAAGGAGAAAGGCTGAGATGCTCTATTACATACAAAAGAACTACGAAACAGAGAACGGAAGGAGTAAGAATGATATTTTTCCAGATACGTGGGGAAAAAGTAATTCAACTATCTTTTAGTGATTTTAGAATTTATTCGATTTCTGAACTTACAGTTTTATTTTGATCTGAATATGAGATATGAATATGGAAAGGGGAAACAAACCCACATTTTCAATCATATACAATTTAGTTTGATAATCTCAGCAAAGCAAATCTCATACTATGGATCAAAAGTTTGATAGCAAAAACTAGGAAATGAAATACTATGTACACTGCAACATACCTGCTTGCAAGGAATTTGCTTCGCCACACATCACACTGTATAGAGAGGCGTTCTAACTGTTCGGAGAGTTGAGCTGTGTTTCGGCTGAGGGCTTCATTTTCTAAAATAAGCTGGTTCTTCTCACGGGCTAGACGTTCAAAGTGATACTGAAGATCATCTCCAACAGAAGCTACCAGCAACTTTTTCAACTCACGATTTACCTAGCAGAGACATAGCCACGCAAATTCAAAGTAATGACATTGACCTGCATGTAGCAAAATTAATCAGAGAAACCGTGTTTCTGTTAATTTGGCCTATCATTACTTAACATGTATGTCAGAAGGTGGCATTAAACAGTCAAGTTTCACAACATATGGTGTATATACAATTATTCTACATATACATACACATGTAAAAATATGTTCCAGTCCATATGAACTGAGCCTCTTAGAAGAATGCCAACTAATGTTATGAAAATAACACAGTGCTTCTGTGAACACCAAAAACCCACAAATCAGAAAGTTAAAAACACGTACTGCTGGAAAGAATGTTTTATGTGTCTTTTGATACAATATTTCTAAAGTAATCGCTCGTATTTTTTGAAAGAATTTGACCCAAGGAAGTAATGAAAAGTATCTATAAATATTAAAAATACTTAAGTACCTATAAATATTAAATATCATATAAATAACTCTAAATAAAGTACTTGCATATATAAATTATTTTTTCAGATTTTTAAAATTTTTATTGGAAAGGCACACACACATTCAGAGAGCAGAAGTATCTTCCATTCCCTGGTTCACTCTTCAAATGGCTGCAGCAGCTGGAGTTGGCCCAGTACAAAACCAGGAGTGTGGAGCTTCTTCTGGATCTCCCACATGGGTACAGGGTACTCCACTGCCTTGCCAGGCCAGAAGCAAGCAGCTGGATTGAAAGTGGAACAGCCAGGATTTGAACTGGTGCCTATATGGGATGATGACCTCACAGACTAAGGCTTAGCTTGCTACGCCACCATTTCAGGTCTTTAAATATGTTCTTTATGTTGTTACTGGAAAAGCAGCAAAAAGGAACGCCTCCAGACATGGAAATAAGTATAACTTTGATGTTTGGATAAGATCCAGAGGAAGCCATTAAAAACAGACAGAATGGATTTAATCCAAATAAAATGCTTCTGCACAGCAAAGGAAACAACAAAGTGAAGAGACGCCAAACAATGGCATAATAGCCTAGTGACTGACGGCCTCGCTTTGTATCTTCCCAAATCCTATTATGGTTCATGTCTCTGCTGTTCTACGTCCCAGCCAGCTCCCTGCTTGTGGCTTGAGAAAGCAGTTGAAGATGGCCCAAGTTCTTGGGACCCTCAATGTGCATGGGAGACACGAAAGAGTCTCCTGGCTCTTGGCTTCCAATCACCTCAGCACTGGCCATTATGGCCACCTGAGGATTAAAACAGCTGATGGAAGGTCCTTCTCTCTATCTCTCCTCTCTCTGCAATTCTGACTTTCCAATAAAAATAATAAAAACAAATCTCTGGAAAAAGAAAAATAAATGAAAAGCATGTATGTTGAAAAAACCATGTGGGCCTGGCACGATAGCATAATGGTTAAGGTCCTCGCCTTGAACGTGCCAAGATCCCATATGGGTGTCAGTTCTAATCCCAGCAATTCCACTTCCCATCCAGCTCCCTGCCTGTGGCCTGGGAAAGCAGTTTAGGACGGGCCAAAGCTTTGGGACCCTGCACCTGCGTGGGAGACCCGGAAAGAAGTTCCTGGGTCCTGGCCTTGGGTCGGCACAATACAGGCTGTTGCGGCCACTAAGGGAGTGAATCATCAGATGGAAGATCTTCCTCTCTGTCTCTCCTTTCTATATATCTGCCTTTCCAATAAAATAAATAAATCTTATTAAAAAAAAACAACTAAGCATGGATTACAATTTTTTTTTGCATTAAGATTATCTTGTTTTTGTTGTAAAGATTTACTTATTTTTATTGGAAAGTCAGATATACAGAGAGGAGGAGAGACAGACAGGATGATCCCGTGTCTGATGATTCACTCCCCAAATGGCCACAATGGCTGGAGCTGAGCCAATTCGTAGCCAGGAGCCAGGTCTCCCAGGTGGGTGCAGGGTCCCAAGGCTTTGGGCTGTTCTGGACTGCTTTCCCAGGCCACAAGCAGGGAGCTGGGGTCAGAACTGATGCGCATATGGGATCTCAGTGCATTTAAGGTGAGGACTTTAGCCAACAGTCTACCTCAAAGTTATGTTTTAAATTCATTTTAACAAAATGTTTGAAATACTACCATATACTAAAGTCAATAGTAAAAATACAAACAAATCCACTAAAAATTGATAATATATCAAAGTAGACATTTTTCAAAGGAACACTTACAAAAGGCCAACAGGTACATGAGAAACTGTTCAACATCACTAATGATCAGGGACATGGAAATCAAAAAAGTGAGATATCATCTCACTCCTATTAGACTATTACCAAAAACAAACAGACAGAAGATAATGTGTGAGAATGTGGAGATGTGGAGAAAAGGGAACATGTGCAAACTACAGGTAGAATATAAATGAGTATATTTAAGTTTCAGGTTAAGTTTAAGGTTAAAAACAGAACTGTTCTAAGACTCAACAAGCACACTACTGCTTTTGCACCCAGAACACTTGAGATCAACTTGTTGAAACAAAGAAATTGTTAACAGCCTTAGTGCCTACCAACTGACCCACAGATAAAGGAAATCCAGTATACGCATACCATGTGCTACTATGCAGCCATAAGAAGGCTGAATTCTGTCATCTGCAACAACATGGACGGAGGTAAGGACCATTATATTAAGTGTAACTTAAGCCAGGCACAAACACAGGTGCTGCATGATCTCACTCAAATGCACAAGCTTAAAAGTTCATCTCACGAAGCTGACAGTGGTCTGATGGTTACAAGACTGAAGGAAAGAAGAAGAAATGGAGAAAGATTGAGTCATGCCTATGCTGAGTAATAGACCGGAGAAAGTAGTTCTGGGTTTCTATCACACTACAGAGTAATTATAGATAGAACAATGTACTCTGTGCAGCTTTTTAAAAGCTAGAAGAAACAGTCCTGAAGTTCTCATCATTAACAGATGATGTGTTTGAAGAGACAGATACGTTTATGCCAGATCTGATATTGTACAAATGATATCTGTTTCAAAGCATCAAATGGTAATCTGTATACAGAACTTTATCAGTAAAAGGTTTTAAAAATTAAAAAGTAATCATTAAATACATTAAAAATATATTTATATAAGTACAATTCATCTTGGTATCCCAAAGATTAGCATCTCTCAAAAGCTGTATAGTCTAATAGAGAAACAAAGTGTAGTAATTAAGTTTTATCAACATGGAAGACTGAAGCAACACAGCACCAAAAGATGTTAACTTATAATGAAGACACAGCAATATACCACTATTCTCTTTATTCCAAGTGTCATGTAGTAAACAGTACTTGGGATCTATTAATCGTTGAAACAGGAATAATGTATTAGTCAGTTTCAAGGCCTGGTTTGGTTCATCTTTGGTCCGACACTTTATAACTGCAACCTACTCTCACCCCTTATGGGTGGTTTGGTCCAAAGCATCTCACCCCTACACCTTCTATCAGCTTTACAGTATACATTTCCAGCATAACCCACTCTCCCGCCCCCCAATGTCTGCAGAGACATCAAGAAATGTAAGAGGACACATCTTTGAGACACGCCAAAGCATGATGAGTGACATTCCTGCGAAGGAAATGTAGTATTCTCACATGTAGGCTCAGCTGGTCCAGGGGAACGGGTAGTACCCACTAAGCTATGGAGGCTCTCACCTCTGTCTGCACGCGGAGCTGGTTGGAAAGACCTTCTTTATCCTGCAGTAACCTCCTTTCAGAGTTCCTGAGCTTTTCCAATACATTCTTTAATTCTACAAGTTCACTGCTAGGTTCTAAGACCATCTCGGACTGCCTCGCGAGTTCTCCTTTGTGATGTCCCACAGACTTGACTTTGGCAGTTTTCTGGGGGATGTCGTGAGTGATGGCGGCTTTGGGAACTAAGATTCTTACAGCTTCGATTTCGACTGCTTTTTCAGTGAGAACCTTTCCTAGCTGCAGAACTCCTGGGCTCTCCGATGGAACCGCTTTCTTCCGTGGACTCTGAAGAACTTGCTGCCTGACGGTCTGCACGCCACAGGGGACCTCCACAGGTTTAGGCGGCTCCTCAGTTTCCATTCCATCTCCTGCTCCTCGGATTGGGGCTGAAGTCAGGGTGCCTTTCAAGGAGGAAACAAAGCATGAGCTACTGACCAAAAAAGAAACGCCAAGAAAATTCCAACACAAGTTTTACTGCATATTCAGACTGCATAATGTCAGACTTTCTGACAATGAAAAACAGAAAAACTGACAGGAAGAAGCAATTTTCAAAATCATGCTGCCACAAAAAACAAGTTTTGCAGGTTCACTTTTCTCATGCACCCGGCTTCTCTCTTGGTAGAAAATGCACGAGGCCTGGAGGCACAGTATTTGCTCGTGATTTCTGACAAGCCTGGGTGAAGTCCTCTGTCAATTTCTTTTTCCAATCTATAACCAGAGAGAAATCACTTCGCTGTAGGAGTAGAGAAACAAAGAATGTAATAAGATCAAAAAGCCCCGACCCACTGTAGGTACTTGATAATGTTAAGTTAAAACTTCAAAAGGGGGGGCCCCCCCGGCACGGTGGTGCAGTGGTGGTTAAGGTCCTCAACTTGCACGCCCGGGATCCCATATGGGCGCCAGTTCTATCCCAGCAGCCCCGCTTCCCTTCCAGCTCCCTGCCTGTGGCCCGGGAAAGCAGTCGAGGACGGCCCAAAGCTTTGGGACCCTGCACCCGCGTGGGAGACCCGGAAGAGGCTCCTGGCTTTGGATCGGCATAGCATTGACCATTGCGCTCACTTGGGGAGTGAGTCATCGGATGGAAGATCTTCCTCTCTGTCTCTCCTCTCTGTATATCTGCCTTTCCAATAAGCAAAATAATAAAAAGTAAATCTTTAAAAAAAAAAAAACTTGGGCCCGGCGCGGTGGCGCAGTGGTTAAGGTCCTCGCCTTGCACGCCCGGGATCCCATATGGGCGCCGGGTATATCCCCGGTAGCCCCACTTCCCTTCCAGCTCCCTGCCTGTGGCCCGGGAAAGCAGTTGAGGACGGCCCAAAGCTTTGGGACCCTGCACCCGCGTGGGAGACCCGGAAGAGTCTCCTGGCTTCGGACCGGCATAGCATTGGCCGTTGCGCTCACTTGGGGAGTGAATCATCGGATGGAAGATCTTCCTCTCTGTCTCTCCTCTCTGTATATCTGCCTTTCCAATAAAAATAAAATAAATCTTGGGAAAAAAAAAAAAAAACTTCAAAAGGGGGAAGCTGCGTGGCTCAGTGGTGGGGATGCTGCCTGAGACATCCACGTCAGAATGCCTGAAGTCATGCCCTCCACTCCTGCTGAGGTGCCTGCAGGCAGCAGGTGCCTGCGAAGGGGCTGGGTCCTGCCCAGTGGAAGACCCCGCTGAGTGCGAACCTTGGCTCCTGGCCTCAGCCTGGCTGGCCTGGCCCCGGAGTGTTATGGGTAAGTGAAGCAGAAGATGGAAAATGTGTTTTCGACTCTTCTTTTCGATTAAAATTTTACAAATGTGTGTGTGTGTGTTTCTATTACTTAAAACAGACTTTACTGCTGAACTCATGGCAAAGAGTATATTGCCGAGGGGTAAAGGGAATTCATGTTAATTTTGAAACTGCTTAGCGAAAGAGTCAGGCCTATTTTAGGCCTAAGGATTTAAATCCTACTTATACAAGTGACACTATATTGTAGTGTCACATTAAACACTTGGATCCTTATATCATATCATACACAAATTATTTTATTCATTCTGTTCAAATTCTCTTTCTACACACACACACACACACACACACACAATGTGATCAAAAGCCGGTAACAGAAATGCTAGATAAAAAATAAAGCATATCCTTAATCTCAAGATCTACTAAACATAATGTCCAAGGTATATCAAACATCCATGACATTTTACTAAAACCATCCTTCAGTTAGAAAAATTTAGTTTGACAAGAATAATGCCTTACAAAAATTAACCGTTTCTTTTTTTTTTTAAGATTTATTTTTATTATTTTTTCATTGGAAAGGCGGATATATAGAGAGGAGAGAGAGGAAGATCTTCCATCTGAAGGTGAGCGCAACGGCCGATACTATGCCAATCCGAAGCCAGGAGCCTCTTCCAGGTCTCCCACGCGGGTGCAGGGTCCCAAAGCTTTGGGCCGTCCTCGACTGCTTTCCTGGGCCACAGGCAGGGAGCTGGAAGGGAAGCGGGGCCGGCGCCCATATGGGATCCTGGGGCATGCAGGATGAGGACCTTAACCACTGCGCCACCGTGCCGGGCCCAAAAATTAACTATTTCTTAAGTGTTTCTGCCGAATAACACTGTCTTAAAAGAGAGATCGCTGGCTCAGTGCAATAGCCTAATGGCTAAATCCTTGCCTACCTCTACCAGGATCCCAAATGGGTGCTGGTTTGTGTCCCAGCTGCTCCACTTCCCATCCAGCTCCCTGCTTGTGGCCTGGGAAAGCAGTGGGGGGTGGCCCAAAGCCTTGGGACCTGAAAGAAGTTCCTGGCTTTGGATCAGCTTAGCTCTGGCCATTGTGGCCACTTGAGGAGTGAACCAGCAGACAGAATATCTTTCTCTGACTTTCATCTCTCTCTGTGAATTTGACTTCCCAGTAAAAACAAATAAGTATTTTTTTCAGAATAAAATGTTATATTAAAAATAATTTAATTGGGAAGTCAGAATAAAAACAATTTCTTTACTTTTATTGCACAGTCAGATTAAAATAATTTATTTTTATTGGAAAGTCAGATTAAACACAATTTATTTTTATTAAAAAGTCAGATTTACAGAGAGAAGGAGATACAGAGAGGAATATGTTCCAACTGCTGGTTCACTCTGCAAGTGCCCGCAATGGCTCGAGCTGAGCCAATCCGAAGCCAGGAATCCGGAGCACCTTCTGGGTTTCCCACCTGATACAAGGTTTCAAGACCATAGGCTCTCCTCGACTGCCTTCCCAGGCACAAGCATGGAGCTGGGTGGGAAGTGGAGCAGCAAGGACACAAACCGGCACTCATTTGGGATCCTGGTGGAGGCAAGGTGAGGATTTAGCCACCAGGCTATAGTACTTGGTCCAAAATGATTAAATATTTAAAAAAAAAAAACCAAAAAACAGAAACTGCACAGTGTGTAAATATTCTAAACTGAAGTAGGCTTGGCTGTCACCTGCTCTCTCTTGGATTGGGACCTACAAACAGAATTTTCCAGCTAAGACACCACAGTTTGCTTAGGGTAATGTGCAGAAAATAAATACTAAAAATTATCTCCCAAGCTGTTTTACGATACAAGAATACCTATCAACATTTCTATCCAGATAGTGTTGGGCCCAGTGGTAAAGGTGCCATTTGGCATGCCCACATCCCGTACCGGAGTGCCTGGGAGCCCTGGTACTTCTCTTCTGATACAGCCATCTACTCGGGTGCGTGACGAGAGGCGCCAGGGATGGGCTCAGCACCCCAGGTCTGTCATTTACATGGGAAACCAGGGTTTCCCACGGTCTGAGCTCCTGGCTGTGGCTTGGCACAGCTCCGGCTATGGCAAACATTTGCAGAGGGAGGCAGAAGATGGAAGGGCTCTGCTCGCCTTTCAAAAACACACAAAAGCTTTTAAAAATACAAAAACCAATTTCCATTATCTAAAAAACATACTTTTCTTGGTGTTTCTCTAGGTTTATGTTTTTTTTTTTTAAAGATTTTATTTATTTTTATTGGAAAGGCAGATATACAGAGAGGAGAGACAGAGAGGAAGATCTTCCATCCAATGATTCACTCCCCAAGTGAGCGCAATGGCCGGTGCTGAGCCATTTTAGTCGCTAGGGTATCGCGCTGGGCTCAGGTTTATGTTTTTTAATGGAATAATTTTTCTTCCTCTTCAAAACTTTGCTATCTATCGATCGTCTCCATACATGACCTCACATTCCCAGTGCATATTGCTACATTTAAAAATACTAAAGCGCATTGATCAGAAAATCTGTACCTACATTCTCATTACTTTAAAATCAAATCGCCAATATTTTCAGATATTTATAACCAAAAATTCTGTACATTTTACTTTCTGCTTTTCAACAATCTTCATATTTTTCATTTTATAATATATCAGTCATTACTATAATATTACTTACAATTGAATTGTTGGATACTTACCATTTTCAGTATTTTTCTATAATAAATAATGTTTCAATGAATGCTTTCATGTCCATGGCTTTTTCAAATTGTAAGTTATTTGTTTTTAATCAATACCTAAGGATAGAACTAACGGGTCTGGGGAGGATCTGTTTTATCATATCTCTTCGCAATTACTCTACCAAGGTCACAAAATTGCGTCTTTTATATCCTTGCCCAATGACTTTCTCTGCATGTCCAATACCTTTAGTCAAAAAGTACGTAAGAACACATTGTGTTGGCCTAGCAGCTAAAGTCCTCGCCTTGAACACAACTGGGATCCCTTATGGGCGCCGCCAGTTCTAATCCAGGCAGACCCACTTCCTATCCAGCTCCCTGCCTGTGGCCTGGGAAAGTAGTTGAGGACAGCCCAAAGCTTTGGTACCCTGCACCCACATGGGAGACCTGGAGGAATTTCCTGGATCCTGGCTTCGGATAGGCTCAGCACTGGCCATTGCGGCCACTTGGTGAGTGAATCATCGGATGGAAGATCTTCCTCTTTGTCTCTCCTCCTCTCTTTGTATCTGCCATTCCCATAAAAATAAATAAATCTGAAAAAAGTGCTTGCAATGAAATTTGGCACACTAAACATTTAGATGTCAGGTTCCATTACTTTCACTATTATTACCTTTTAAAAACTCTAACAAACTGGACATTGATGGGAAAAATGAAGTTTATCTAATGTCACAAAACATGATGTTGACTTTCCTTTCATGCCCATCTAAAATTTGTCACGAGATCATGTGACTTTTTTTTTTCTTCTTTAAAGATTTATTTATTTGCACTGGAAAGTCAGATTTACAGAGAGACAAAGATGGAACATCTTCTGGCTCACTCCCCAAGTGGCTGCAATGTCCAGAGCTGAGCCGATCCGAAGCCAGGAGCCAGGAGCATCTTTCAGGTCTCCCACACGGTGCAGGGTCCCAAGGCTTTGGGCCATCCTCTACTGTTTTCCGAGGCCACAAACAGGGAA